GTTTAAAATAAGCCATTATCTTATCTGTTTTAAGAAAGATTTCTTTTTTAAAATTCAACAAAACACTTTATGTTAATTAGGAGAGAACACTTAACTTCCTTTATAATGAATTTAAATATATTTTAACATGGGCCACATTTTAACTTGACTCTCTTCGTTTATCTCTTAATGTCGAAAGTGGTCGATATCAATTATTTAAAACATATGATTAGTTAAAAAGAAGACCAAACTGTGCCCTTTTTAAATTAAGCGTCAAATATTACAAAATTAATATTTTAGTAAACGGCAAATGTACTCAAAGTTCTAAATTTAAAATTCCAGAATGCGGTGAAAGAAACGAAGTGTCCCGTATCGTGGGTGGGACGGAGGCGAGCAATGACGAGTTCCCGTGGATGGCGAAGCTGATCTACATCAAACGGTTCTACTGCGGAGGCATGCTTATCAACGATCGATATGTACTCTCAGCCGCGCATTGTGTTAAAGGGTGGGTAACCAGTCAACGGATCATAAAAGACGTAGAGTTATTATAGACAATTTATGCCTAACTAGCCTAACTATAAAAATTTTATATTATTGTTTACATTTGTCAAATTATCAATAGCAAATGGCAAAATGACATGACATGTCATCCACAATCTTGCTTCCTTGATGTTGGCAGCAACTTATGGTTTCTTTCCCACATTAGAGTTTTTATCCAAAATATTGAGTTTAATGGCGTTAAATATATAGCTTAAAGCGTGACGTAAGTGTAGGGCTTTTTATTAAAAAAAGAATTATTTAAAAATATGCTGTAATCGCTGACATCTTAGGCAACAAAGAAGTGTGTGTTTACGCTTTGTAATAATAGTATATATATAGCATGATTATGGAATTTAATAGCTACCAGTGACGCATTTCTCGGACACCCTGTATTTGGAAGGTTGATTACGAAATGAAAACGTACATGAAAAATAAATAGATTAGATTGAATTGAATAAAATCGGTTAAAAAATATAAAAAAATCTAACATTTTTATAATTTTTTTTGTATTTGAAAATATATGCTACTTTATTGCCTTTTAGGTTAGTGTCTCTTTAGATTTTAAAAAAAATCCGTATTAAGGATTTATTTAAAGCACTTACGTTATGTCCAAAATCAACTTATAAGCAAGTTCAACAGTCTGTTGTTAGTCATATTTGTTTGTCACATGTTTTGTTCGAATGAGTCACAGATTATGAGAATTTTATACTAAAAAACCCATCAACTAAAGAAATAAAAGCATGATAAACAGAAGATATTTTTCGCGTCCATTACCATTTATTAAACTTTAATCACCTAACTTAATTACTAACAAATATATGACACAATAAGTGAGGTACAATAATAGTAATAAAACATTTTTATGTATCTTAAAGTCATCTCTTATTATTAATTTACTAAAGTTATAATAGGTATATGATCTTAGGATTTAATAACCTTTTATAACATTGTCTTTATGTTATCGAAATTTAATATAAAAAAAAACAGATTCTAATGCTGGTCCAATGCAATGTTGTTCTTTTTTTAATAATGCGATGCAAAACAATTCGTTCGTCTGTTTGAAGTGACTAAACCTACATTGATATAAAAGTATTAAAATATTTGAACAGTAACGTTTTCTAGTTTCTACCTTTGGCAAGTTTTCAAGTAACTTGAATCAATACGGTAGCGTGAACATCAGTATGAGGTTTTCGAGTATTTGCACTAAACTTAACTTCGTGTTGGCTATCACTCAAATATTTGCTTTCTTGTTTGCTTTCTAATGAATGTTATTTAAAAATGGAATTTCTTTAAATCATTTGTCCATTTTATTGTAAAATTAAATTGAAAAGATTGTAAGCGAATTTTGTTGAACACCTTTTTTAAAAAGCAAGATGTAGTCTATAAAATTAAATTACAATTATTTGAGAATCATCAAATAATTTGACTTACTGAATTACTAAAATGTATTAAATGTTACAGACACAATATTATGCATAAATGTATGTGTGTACATGCATATTTATAACTATAATTTTTTTTGGTAGCAAGGCCGGGTTCAATATCAAGGTAATGTTCTACTAAACGACAATTGAATGTGTACAAAGTAGGTTAATGACAAATGGTCACGTCAGGTCAGATGCTATGACTTTGTTTAAAAATTTTAAATACAAATTAGATGTGTAAACAATTAAATTAAAAGGGAAAATGAATCACGAGAAACATTTCGACGAACCTTAATAAATACCCTGTTTTGATAAAACCGCATGCAGGTAAATTTAAATAGCAAATGGAACAGTAAATCAATAAAAAAAAACAAGTCCGATAACCGCAGAATTGGCAAACATGCCCAAAATAAGTATTTGGGGGCGATCTTTTAAATTCCAATCAGTATCGGAGCGTTCACCTTCAAACCGGCCGCAGCAGGCTCCGAACTTATAAGTTCATTATCCTATAGTATACATACATGTACATTTTAAGTGTTTTAGTCGGCACATTGTAATAGGCCAGGTTATCCAGCAAAAACAAAGAGAGACAAAGAAATTGGCATGACTAACCCTTAAATCTAAAAATTATCCAAGTAGCTACAAATTAATTTTTTTCATCCATTGTTTAGTGCTTTATAATTATTATTTATTATCTTCATAATCACCTGCACTAAAAAAATTAGCAAAACACTTAATATAATTTTTAATATTAACACTACGATAGCTAGAGAACAAACCAAAGTCAACAATAAATAACTTTGAATTTCCCAGTATTTGTACCGTTGGTAAGAATTTTATCGTTACCGAGAATTTCGAATTTCAAACAATTTTTATGCAATAAGGAAAACCGCTCTTCACTTTAGGAGAGACAAAATTAAAGACACAAAAAACAGTAAGTGAAAGCGTAAATGATGGGTCATTAATAGTATGCATGTCCGTAGACCGTCGAAAATGTTGTCACTTTCGCTCAATACAAACTTGGCTTGAATAACACAATAACGGAAGTATATTGTTATGCAATTTAATGGACAATTAGTCTTGTCCTGTTATACAATTTGTTTCGCGATTCTCGGAAATAAGATTTCGTTTGTATTGCTTCGATATTGATGTTAAATGTTCATACTCGAAGTTTTGTTTTTAATATAACAAAGTTTTACTATACAAAAATATATTTATATAATAAAAGAGTAATCAATATCGCCATCTGGTGATTTCGGAGGTTAACGAAACATTACGTAATAATTTCGATAGATGGCGCTATTCAACATTTTGTGCTACGTTGATTGAGTCAAATAATACATATAAAAATATTAAATTTTCAGCTTTATGTGGTTCATGATAAAGGTGACATTCGGCGAGCATAACCGGTGCAATGCGACCGTGCGTCCTGAGACAAGGTTCGTCATCCGCGTCATCTCAAACAAATTCAGTCTCACCAACTTCGACAATGACATCGCGCTGCTCAGACTGAATGAGCCTGTGCCCATGTCAGACGCTATCAAGCCTATATGCTTGCCAACTGATAAATGTAAGTAAAACATCCAAATGCTGTTTCCTAGGTTTACTTATACCTAATTTGCCAAGATTTTCGTATTAAAAGCTTGACTACTGCGCTCAGAGCTCAGAATCATTAAGTGGTCACTAATGACATATTTAAATAGATGGCGTTAGTAGTAGGGCTATTAAATTTGCGGGAAAATGCTTGCTAAAAAAAATTTTAGTCTTTGATAGTAAAAAACATAAGATATGACGATAAGTCGCTTTTTTAATTTATTAATTTACCTATTTAGTAGTAGTTCGTAGAAAGATAGGCATAATTTGCACTAAATACATCTTCATTGAACATTTTTAAACCATTTACATGAGAGGCTTATATCCCTGACGAAGTTCTGAGTCAAGTAACTGTGTTGCCATTTACAATTCAATCGGATAAACGAAAGTAAGATTTAAATTAGCTTCGGAAATTTTATCCTAGCTCGTGATCAAGTTAACTAACAAGACTTTTCTAATAAAATAATAATACGAGTATGTAAATAACTAACTGTTGCTCGCGACTTCGCCCGCGTGAAATAAAAAAATTTGTTAAAACATAGCTGTTTAATAGTGAAAGAATTGTTGAAATAGGACCAGTAGTTTTGAAGTAATTTCAATACATACAAAAATACAAATCTTTCCTTTTTATTATGTTAGTATAAATATAGAAATATTTAAACAAAAAATTCAACTAGTAATAAAAATTGTAAATGGTAACAGAATTAACCAGTGAATAGTCTTAGTGCATGATTTAACATATAATTAAATTAAAACAAAAACAAAAATTTATTTATATAAGTATACACAACAGCTAATTTAATCACACAATTACATAGGAAAATAGAAAACAGGCATACAGTGGTACAGCCCGAATGGGTCGTCTCGCCCGGTGCAATACCACGACCACACAGAAGACAGGCGTGTAGTAGAAGCAATTCCGCGTTTCGTCTGATAAGTTTGGTGCCGGAGGCCTAATTTTAGTACCTTTCCCTTTCCACCCTTTTCTTAAGAGGAAAGCATGGGCAGGAAAAGTGGAGGAGACGCATAGGAAGGGGAAATGTCCTCTTTATGTGCGTCTCCTTCTCCGTCAATTAAATGTAGGCAACGCGTCTGCAATTGCGGATGTTTATGGGCATCGGTCACCTTCCACTTCGGCGTATTCAGGTGGCCGCTTGCTCGTTTTCCACCTTATATTATAAAAAAAATACACAAAAGCAATAGGTGCAAAAATAAGTTATCATAAACAATTTATTAAAGTTATGTTTAGTATTGTTGATCCAGGTTTTTCGTTTATTTTTTCTAACCTAAATTTACAACCAATTCAATCTCTGAACAATACAAAACATATCGGTGATTTTGTGAATCACCCCAATTCCTCTTTGTCTGAAGTCTTACTAAATAACATTCGTTCTATTTCCAGCTCTACTGTATGTCGGTGTGAAGGCTGTAGCCTCAGGTTGGGGGACTCTTAGTGAAGAAGGAAAAGTATCGTGTACTCTGCAGGAGGTGGAAGTGCCAGTTCTCAGCAATGAGGAATGTCGCAAAACTAAATACACGCCATCTATGATCACAAATAACATGCTGTGTGCTGGCTATCCGAAGACCGGACAAAAGGACTCTTGTCAGGTATACATTTAAATTCTATTCATACAAAACTTACTATGCAAATGCAAAAAAATGGATGGATGTATGGATGTTTGTTGCCACCTAATTCAAATAAAAGGTACATCTATTCATATTTTACCCTACATTGTCTTGTTTCCATTTGGTAACATTTATTGATAGTTTTAGTTTTAAATGTATTAAATACTAGTTTTCGCTTGCGACACCGTCCGCGTGGACTATGCTCTACATCAGCGACAAATTTCATCGAAACAAACAAACTCCAACAAACATCTATCCATCTAAACTTTCGTATAATATTATTAAGAAAACAACGTATTAATGAAGAGGATCCGAGTACCATTAAATCAGGATTTTTACATTCTTGGTTAGTGTATGCATAATATTTTACTTTGATTGCTTTCGTTTGCAGGGCGACAGCGGTGGGCCGCTTGTTACAGAGAGAAAGCAAGACCAACGCTATGAACTGATAGGTAATGAATAGTAGAGTTTTATTTATATGCATAAGCATTTGTACAGTTGTAGAGTTCGCAATAACAGATGTTGAACGAATGTGCTCGCCCGCAATACCGCCACCGTGTCCAAGACACGCGGAAAATGGAAATATTCCTAATTTATTCTAATAATCTGATAAATGAACATACCGGAGATTGATTTTTAGTTCATTTCGCACACATGTCTTGCAAGGAAGCGAAGTTAAGGGGAGATGGATTTGATGGAGAAGACGCATTTGAAGGAAAAAAATCATCATTCTGAGCGTCGCATTTAAGCGAATTCAGATGGCCATTCATCTTATAATAAAAAAATCTATAGTAATATGGGTTTACAACTACAGTCTTGTAAAAAACGTGTATATAAAACTAGCTGTTCCTGTGCGGCTTCACCCGCGTGAAAATTTAAAAACTTTATTGTTTACATTTGACACATTCTCAATGGCAACTGTCAAAATTACCGTTACCATAATAACCTCGTTTCCTTAATGTTGGTAGCTTGTTGTTTATGGTCCCTTTCCCACATCAGGGTTTTTTCCAACTTTGTTACTCCCAAAGTTTAATAGCGTAAAAATATATAGCCTAAAGCGTGTCGTAAATCTAGGGCTTTTGTTGAAAAAAGAATTATTCAAAAATATGCTGTGATTGCGGACATCCTACGCCAAAAAGTAGTGTGTGCTTACGCTTTATTATATTAGTATAGAAGTATATCTTAGATAGAATATTATTCCCTTCCCAGGGGAGATTATGATTTACAATATAAATGTTTAATTTGAACAGGCGTGGTGTCGTGGGGCAATGGCTGCGCGCGCGTCGGCTACCCCGGCGTCTACACGCGCGTCACCAACTACATAGACTGGATCAAAGAAAACACACAAGACGCATGTTATTGTACTAGTTAAATATCTATCAATCAATAGATATAAAATGCCATGTATAAAAATATAAACAAAAATCAATAAAAGATATTTTGTAATTATTAATAATTTAATATATAATTTTTAGAGTATGTATTTTAAATGTAATTTCTATAATGTGATATTTAAAATTAAACGGTTATAATACTTTATTTCGATGGAATTTCCAGAAAAAATTGTACCTAAAATACCAAAAATATCAGCAAATCGAAATATAGGTATTATTGCTATATTTGTTTAAGAATAAGTATACTTCGGCGTATAAATGTTTACCATATAGAGTTATATATACAAATAAAGTATTCTAATATTAACATTGAGTGTTATTTAATGCTAAATCCATTAGAGAAACGGACTGACATTAATCATATCCCGAATTTTGTATATTTTCCATTATCATGAAGAAAGGAGAAATAAATCTGTAACACCGATATCATTATATTTTATATTTTTCACCGACTTCCCAAAAGAAGGAGGTATTCAATTCGTCGATATGTTTATTTTTTTTTTTTTATGTCTGTTACGGCATAACTCCGCCGCTAGTGGACCGATTTGGATAATTCTTATCCGAAAGGTAATGCTTGCAGGTGGGTCCCATTTTTTATATTTTATATTTTATATTTTATATTTTATATTTTATATTTTATATTTTATATTTTATATTTTATATTTTATATTTTATATTTTATATCAAAGCTTCAGGTCAACATTACAAGCGGTCGCCTGCGACCTCGTCAACAAAGAAAGAAAATTGCTTATAATATTCCCGCACCTTTTCGTCAAAGACCCGTCAAGCCGTACCAGAGATCACCTGAGAAAACGCGGCCTTGCAGACAGACAAAAATAATAATATGGGTTTTTCGTAATCAACAATATAACAAGAAATGTGACATATTTTCGACATCTCATACATTTCCTTATACGATATTAGATTTTTATACAAAGCCTAGGAAATGTGTACATTTACCAGGATATGTGTGTGTTTAATAATCTTTAAACAATATTTTACACGTCCTTAAACAGATAGATACTTTTCCTAAGAAATAGTTTTATTTACATTTTCTGGTTCTCACAAATTTCCTGTTAAGTTTAGCTAATAAGAAAGCCATTAGTTTTAACTTCAGTCTTATGACACTTTTCTTTCGTTATTAAGCACTAATAAGCGATAAAAATAAGCTTAAATAAAACGGAAAGTGTATTGTTTCGGGCGAAAATCGAACCCCACATTGAACATATAACAATTACTATAACCACTAGGCTATAGAGTCCTAGTGGTAATAATTTGCATATTTAATCATTCACATAATTTTCGGATTAATAAGAATGTAATATTACGAGGAATATGATTAATGTTCACTTCATTTGTAATATATTGTTCCACAGATTGAAATAAAATGCCAAAACATTTTTAAATCATTAAAAATTGACGACAAATATAAATGATTAACAGGTAGCGTGGGCTTGGATGAAATGTTGATATAACGAATAGTTCTTATTTCATAGGTGATAAGAATCAAAATTGTGATTATGACAGATAGGTCATCGAACTCTGAGGTCATTGCCAAATACGTCGCTCATACTGCCTCCAATAGACACCTAAAACGGTGCTTTCTTACAAGTAGCTTTTTAAAATCAAACATAATTATAAACAATTCGTCTGCTTAATCAAACGTATCCGAATACCGATATCATAAATACATGGATGTGATAAATATCGTATCGTGTCAACCTGTTTTTTCGGTATCTTTTTATAAGTGCTACATTTTAGGGTATCCGAACCTCATAAGCACGTCGAATTTGATGATATTAGTTAGTGTATCAAAGTACGGAATGCTGTGATAACGTATAAATCATAATTGCAATTTATTAGTTACTGAGTACATTTGTTCTATTAGAACATAAAAATGAAAACAATTTTGTGGTATTTATTATATTTTCTGTGCGTATCTATCGGCGTCGGGGACACACTGAGTAAGGTAAGTTGGATTTCGTTGTATATTTTATGTTAGTGTGTGTTGAGTACTTATTTAGTATTCTAATTCATTGGTCTTTGTTAGTAAAACGGTAAACGAGAAATAGCTGTATTATTCACGTTAAAAGTTTCGTTTATTTAAATAAAGTTATGAATATGTAAACAACAATAAATTACTCAATTAAATATCTTGTCATACACATTCTGTAAGTACGTTAAATATTTATTTATATTATTATTCAGTGATACTGTTTAGTCTTCTTTGTACAATATTTTTTTGTATTACAAAAGTTTTTGTAGTGCCTTGATTGTGTCACAAAAACCTTGTTGAAATCACCTCAAATATGACATTATTAAAAAGAAATTGTTTATTTTAGGCAAATTTAAAAGTATCGAACACATCCTATTCACCACATTCTGTGTTAAAAAGACAGCAGTTACCGCCATGTATGGATTGTGGTAAGTTATTGACATAAATAATTTGTTTAACCAATATTAGGTAACTTAACTCTACTACTTTGAATAATATGGGGCCCTGGGCAACCCGGAGAAAGGAAGTAAAAACTCAACGCTTAAGGGGACATGGTTGTGTTCCATACGAAGATCCCATTCCCCCCTT